ATTATAAATATACTAGAAACAATGGCAACAAAGAAAAAAGATATTTGTGTACCTATCTTGGGGTTCATTTCGCTTAACATAATCTTATATGGTCATATGTACATAGCTTTTGGCCTTTTCTGATTGTCCTACACATGTACTAATTATTGCAAATAAGGGAAACCAGGGGACCTATGTTTCTTTGGGCCTGGCTTACTTCACTTAATATAATTTTTTCCAAGTCTTTCCATTTCCTAACAAATGGGGCAATGTCATTCTTTCTGATGGAGGCATTGAATTCCAGTGTATATATACACCACATTTTCTTGATCCATTCATCTACTGAGGGGCATCTGGGTTGGTTCCATATCTTAGCTGTGGTAAATAATGCTGAGATAAATATAGTTGTGCCGGTAGCCTTAGTATGGCCTTGTTTGTGATTGTTTGGGTAAATGCCCAAAAGTGGGATTGCTGGGTCATAGGGGAGCTCTATGTGGAGTCTTTTGAGGAGCCTCCATACTACTTTACAAAGTGCTGAACAAGTTTACACTCCACCAACAATACAGTAGGATTCTAGTTTACTCTTTCTATGGCTTGTGCTTGAGCTAATGAGCTACAAGAGACAAAAAGCCAGGGGAAAAAATCAGAGAGGAACTGCTTTATTTGAGGTTTCTTTTTCTGAGCCCCAGCTCTAAAATCACAAATATTTTAGATGTTTTGTATTCTTACAAAAGGAATTCATTGTGTGAACAACTTGCTTTTGTAATCTTCTATATTAGAAGATTGTAAATGCCGCTATGATTTGAAAACTTTGTGAGCATGTCCTTCAGGGGTTCATGTGAGAAAACTTGCCATGGTCACTATACAAGGTAGTGCACCCATTTATTAGGAAATGGAAAGACTTGGAAACTTTGAAAAAGTCATATTAAGTGAAGTAAGCCAGATCCACAGAAATACAGGTCCCATGGTTTCCCTCATTTGCAATAATTAGTATATGTCTAAGATAATTTTAATTTTATTAAATGAGCAGAGAAGCTCAAAAGCTATGTACATATGACCATATAAGATGATGCTAAGTGAAATGAACTCCAAGATATGGACATAAGAGGTCTTTCTTTGTTGTTTTTAGTGTAGTGTATGATTTTTTTTTGTTTTGTTTGTTTCCTTTGTATGCTCTTCTCCCTATGGTATATCATCTGTGGTCATTGTACTTGATTTTGGTACCCTACATCTTGTATATATATTTGTCATATTTGGGGAGGGGTAGGGGAATAACAAAACCTTGAAACAAGGACACAGGATGACCCATTGCAACAATAATACTCGTTTTTTTTGTTGTTGTTGTTTTGTTTGTTTGTTTTTTTGGGTCTGGTCGTGGGGCCTGAACTCTGGGCTTGGGTACTGTCCCTCAGCTCTTCAGCTCAAGGCTAGTGCTCTACCACTTGAGCCACAGCGCCACTTCCGGCTTTTTTCTTTTTGCTTATGTGGTGCTGAGGATTCGAACCCAGGGCCTCATGCATGCAAGGAAAGTGCTCTACCACTGAGCCAACTTCCCAGCCCTGCAACAATAATACTCCTAAGAAACTATGTTGAAAATGAACTTTACAACTTTGGGGAGGGAAGTAGGATAAAAACAAAGGAGGGAGTAACAATGTTCCACAAAAAGTGTACTCATTCCTTATTCATATAACTGTAACCCCTCTGTACAGCATCTTTACAATAAAATAAAATTTAAAAAAGAAAAAAAAGAGGTAATGCAACAATTAAGAGACCTAGTGGAAGGCAGTTAGATCATTGAGAGGAGCTTCATCATTGGACATAATTAATTGTGTTTCTCTAGGACCCTGGTTAGAGAGTAGACTGGAGTGAGCCTAGTGCCCAAATCCCTCTGGTTTCTGTTTTATATGCACTCTGTTCTCTTCCATGTTCACTCTGACCATTGTGCCATATACCATGAGTTCCTCATTGGAGGCCAAGAAGATGGATTTGCCTCATCTTGGACATACGGTCTACACACACCACACACACACACACACACACACACACACACACACACACCATGTTCACTCTGACCACACACACACACACACACACACACACACCATGTTCACTCTGATCATTGGAGGCCAAGAAGATGGATTTGCCTCATCTTGGACATACGGTCTACACACACACACACACACACACACACACACAATGTTCACTCTGACCATTGGAGGCCAAGAAGGTGGATTTGCCTCATCTTGGACATACGGTCTACACACACACACACACACACACACACACACACACACACACACACACACACACACACACACACACACACACACACACACACACACACACACACACACACACACACACACACACACACACACACACACACACACCCCATGTTCACTCTGACCATTGTGCCATATACCATGAGTTCCTCATTGGAGGCCAAGAAGATGGATTTGCCTCATCTTGGACATACGGTCTACACACACACACACACACACACACACACACACACACACACACACACACACACACACACACACACACACACACACACACACACACAATTCCAATACTGCTGCCATATATCAATCTGATTCTGCTGCTTACCCTGTCTTTCAAACTGCTCTTTTGCCTTTTAGACTGACTTGTTTTTTTTAAAACCAAAAGCCTGCATTACAGAAGAGGAAATCTTCAAGTAGGCTTTGATAATTTGATAATAAAGTATAGTGGGAGGTGAAGCATTTTATAGTCCTATGGGTCTGTGGTTAGGGCTCAGTCTTTTTAGTGTTGTTTTCCTTTTTCTTTGACACAGTTTCACTATATAGCCTCAAATTCACCGTTGTCCTTCCTGCCACTACCTCTGGAGTTTTAGGATTATAGGTGTGTATCACCACACCCCGTTAGCTGGCTATCAGTTTTGTAATAAGCCTGGGCCTTTTGGACTATTAACTTCACAAATATTTCTCAGTGTTTCCCCGACTTAGATGAGATAGTTTGACTAGAGTGAACTACAGTTGGGTATTTCTTTTCCTTAGGTAGAAGGCTCCAGGATTTTGGAACTAGGAGAAGAGTTTATTTCTGACAAAACTGTTGATTAAACATTAGTAGATTAGTAGAACAGTTAAAAGGCCAGTTCTTGTAAAGAAGAGTGGAGTTCTCCCAGTGTGGTTCAGAATACTTTCTTTTTTTCCCCTCCTACCACTTATATACAGAGGGAGTTTTCATCTTTGCACTGTGAGAAACTACTGTACGCCCTGAAGTAGACATCATAGCAGTGTGGGGTTCCTCTGTGATTTGGTTTCAGTAGAACCGAACTCTCACCCTTGTCCTCATCGATCCTTCAGCAATCAATCTGTCGTTTATATTTGGATTGTCCAGCTGGGCCTTGATTCCACGAGAGATTTCTGTTTATAGTAAATGTGATTCTTTCTAATATGTCTGTTTGTTAAAGTTGAGGTCAGCAGTTTGCCCTGAGAACTTTCTGTGTGTGTGTGTGTGTGTATTTTGGTAGTGGGGCTTGAACTTAGGGCTTGGGCTGAGCTTTTTCGCCCAAGCCTATTGCTCTACCACTTTAAGCCACAGTGCTACTTCCAGTTGTCTGGAAGTTAATTGGAGATAAGAGTCCCACAGACTTTCCAGTCTGGGCTGGTTGTGAAGCTCATTGAGTAGCTAGGATTTACAGGCATGAGCCACCAGTAGTGCCCCGAGAGAACTCTCTTCTCTGAAATATTTGAAGAGTTATTTTTCAGTTAACAGCCTTTTTATTTGTTTAGGTTGGAGTAATGACTTCTAAGTCCCTATTAAATGCTGAATTGGAAACAAAAAGTACTTGCTGTATTTTTTGTTGATTCTGTGTACCCAGTATCTACTAGTCCAGAAAAGCTTTGCATGACCTCTAAAAAACAAAGCTTCAGTCTTATGCTTCATTGTGAAGAGGTCCTTGTCAGTACCCTTGAGCAAGAAAGGCAAAGCAGTGACCTACCTACATTTCTTGCAGCCTTGTCCATTCTCTTAATTACAAGTCCTCTTCCTTCACTTTCACTTCCATACTTCTGTGCATTTCGTGTATACAAGAGGCTTATTCCTAAGCACTTTTTCTTACTCCTTTTATTCTCCTTTCTTGAGTCTTCTATGTGTATATATGTGTGTGTATACGATATATGTATATATATTATATATGTGTATATATTATGTATGTGTTTATAAAGCTTTTGAGATACTGTAGCTATGAAAAGTTTGTCATGTTTACCTTGTCTATGTATAAAAATCCTTTTAAATTAAGGGAAGGCACTTAAGAGTTTAAGTTAGATGATTTAACTCAGTCTGTTATATATACCTCTATGGTGAAGCCAAGTTTTTAAGGCAAATGCACAAACCTTGTTTGTTTTTTGTTATTGTTTCTGTAGCCTCAACTAAAGCAACAAAACTGGATAATAGATTATCTGAAACATTCTAATAGAGATTGGCAACTAAAGCTAAGAATTTTTTGAAAATGAAAATAGTTCTTACTCTAGTATATTTGTAGATGGGATAGACTTCACTATAACATTTATTTATTTACTTACTTATTTTGGGTCCGGTCGTGGGGCCTGAACTCTGGGTCTGGGCGCTGTCCCTCAGCTCTTCAGCTCAAGGCTAGTGCTCTACCACTTGAGCCACAGCGCCACTTCCGGCTTTTTTCTTTTTTTGCTTATGTGGTGCTGAGGAATCGAACCCAGGGCCTCAGGCATGCAAGGCAAACGCTCTACCACCACTGAGCCACCTCCCCAGCCCCAAACTTTTTTTTTAATAATGGAAGACCAATGGCAGCTATTTTATGCTAAATAACTGAAAGGTGACTGGGGAACAGTTTTGTGACATATTAAGGTTTTACCTTCATCTTTTAAAAATGGATATGAAAATCTTATAAAGTGTTGACAATTGTTGGGACTTGATTAAGTTACAGGTTGGTGATTTGAATGTGATTACATAAAATGATTTTTACAGTCATGTTTCTGCATTCCTTTTACAATCTACAGAGAAAGCAACCAGTGAGATGAACACTGCTGAAGACTGGGGCCTCATCTTGGATATTTGTGATAAGGTTGGCCAGTCACGCACTGGGTAAGTGCTGAAAGTTTCAAGAATGTTTTATTCATCCTGTTTATAAAAATGAAGGACTGGGGGCTGGGAAGGTGGCTCAGTAGTAGAATGCTTGTCTTGCATGCATGAGGCCCTGGGTTCGATTCCTCAGCACCACATAAGCAGAAAAAGCCAGAAGAGGTGTGCTGTGGCTCAAGTGGTAGAGTGCTAGCCTTGAGCTGAAGAGCTAAGGGGCAGCACCCAGGCCCAGAGTTCAGGACCTATGACCGACAAAAAATAAAATAAAAAATGAAGGACTGGGAGATGATGTGACTGGTATAAAGTTGATACTTCATTCCATTCTATTATTTTTCTTCTGAAATCTAGATTTTCCCACTGACTTTAGAATCATAGTGATTTCTCAGTTTCCAGGGTTCATGATTATGTCTGAGTTGTTTTCTTTGTCATGTCTGTAATGTTCTGTTGAACTGACCAGTGATTTAATCAGATTAAAAGAGATAAGGTGAATAAAAGCTTAAAGTTTTTGCCCATTTGTAGAGCTTTCCATACACTTGAACAGATTAACTGGAGTGCATATGAATAATTTTTCTAATCCCTATACTGATAACATAAACAGTGTTAGTGTCTTATTTGTGTACTTTTTTGTTTTTTGTGCCAGTCCTGGGGTTTGATTTCAGGGTTTGGGTGTTGTCCCTGTACTGCTTTCTTTCTTTTTTTTTTTTTTTTTGGTCGGTCATGGAGCTTGAACTCTGGGCCTAGGTGCTGTCCCTCAGCTCTTCAGCTCAAGCCCTAGTACTCTGCCACTTGAGCCACAGTGCTACTTCCGGTTTTCTGGAGTTTATTGGAGATAAGAGGCTCATGGACTTTCCTGCCCGGATTGGCTTTGAACCGTGATCCTCAGATCTCAGCCTCCTGAGTAGCTAGGATTACAGTTGTGATCCACCACCATCCAGCTTCCCTGAGTTTTTTTGCTCAAGGCTTGTACTAGTACTCTACCACTTGAACCACAGAAGCTCTACTTCTGGCTTTTTGGTAGTTCATTGGAAATGAGAGTCTCACAGACTTTCCTGCCTGGGCTGGGATCACTGGTGTCCCAGCTTATTTGTATACACTTGCTTTATGCTCCATTCCTTAACTGGGGATCTAAACCCTCTGGAACTGCCTTAGGCTCTTCCTTTCCCCTTAAACACAGATGTTCCTTATGTTTTCCTTATTTTTCTTCACTTTCGAAAATTTCAACTATCAGGTGCCCAGGCCCAGAGTTCAAGCCCCACGACCTACCAAACAAAAAAAAAAAACAATCAACAGCAGTCACTTTCACATTTATTTTGTTACTACCAAGTTCTATATTATTCTACATATATTTTTTTTTAATTTATTTTTTTGGTGGTGGTGGTGGGGCCTGAACTCTGGGCCTGGGCACTGTCCCTCAGCTCTTCAGCTCAAGACTAGTGCTCTACCACTGAGCAGCAGTGCCATTTCTTAACTTGTCACTTTTCTTTTCCTGTGCTGTACTCTAGCTGGTGATCCTCTTGCCTCCTTCTCTCCCTAGGACTGTGCTACAGCCCTTCATTTCTTTGCATTCCATTGGTTTTTATTTATTCTTTTGTGGTATATTGCAGATACTTTATAATTGGTCAGATACTTAAGCTCAAAAGACATTCCCTTTTATTACTAGAAATATTCTCTCATTTTTAATTGGAAACCTATTAGAAATTTTGTGTGATATATGATGACGGTGTAGAGGTCAATTTGTTTTTCTTTATATGAGCATTATATATCAGAAGTATTTATTAGATATTTTTGTTTTCTCACATACTTGAAATTTAATGATCTCTAGGGTTGTTTTTTTTTTTGCTTTTTTACATATTATCTCATATGTAGAATCTGGACTTAAAAAGACTAATACAAATATAAAACAGAGACTTTTTGGGGATAGAAATCAGTGAGAGGGCAGGGAAAAAAGGAGAGTGCTAAAGGGGTTGAATATGATTGAAATATATATATATATATATTTTGGTTGGTCATGAGGCTTGCACTCTGGGCCTGGGCGCTGTCCCTCAGCTCTTTATCCCAAGGCGAGTACTCTACCACTTAAGCCACAGCACCATTTCCGTTTTTTTTTTTTTTTGGTGGTTTATTGGAGATAAGAGTCTCAGGGACTTTCCTGCCCGGACTGGCTTTGAATTGTGATCCTCAGATCTCAGCCTCCTGAATAACTAGGATTACAGGTGTGAGCCACCGGCACTCAGGTGATTGAAATACTTTTATCGTATATTTGATAATACAATCAACTTGTTAAAGACAGATTTTTAGGGAGGGCGAGGGGATCATAGGGCTTGAACTTGGAACCTGGGTGCTGTCCTAAGCTCTTTTGCTCACTCCACCATTTTAAGCTTCAGCACCACTTCTGGTTTTCTGGTGGTTACTTGGGGATGAGAGTCTCTCGGACTTTCCTGCCCAGCCTGGCTTCACACTGGGATCCTCAGATCTCAGCCTCCTGAGTACTTAGTTAGGTTTACAGGTGAGAACCACCAGCACCTGAGAAAGATTGATTTTTTACAAGGACCATGATTCAAGTGGTAAGAGCGTTTACTTAGAAATACAAAGTCCTGAGTTTGAACCCCAGGTCTTCAGTATGGTTAAAGTCATAGAACTTTCCTAGCAAACTTAAGACCGAGTCCAATACCATCAAACTCCAGTACCACCAAACCTTAGAAAGTTAGGTAGGTGATCCCTAGTTTTAAGAGAGTTTCCTGTTGGATTTTGTTTTTACTTTTGTCAAGTCAAAGTACAAGTTCATTTTTTTACTTTTTAAAATTTAGTCTATGTGCTTTCTCTCAGGGTATTCCTCAATATTTGAGTTACTATTTGGGGATTTTAATTGAAATAACACCGAATCCAACCCTATTTAGGAAATATCGTCAACTTTAGTAAGTTCATGATAGGTAGTTTTATTTGTTCTTTAATCAGTTTCCTTCCCTCATTCTCATTCTCTTCTTTCTACCCTCCACAATCCTTAAGTTCTTTTATATCCTAATTTCCATGCATTTATTAGTTTATCTGCATGGATAACTCTTCATAGGTATTGTTAATAAAGAGTTGTTTGAAAAGGATTAAATAAAAATTGGTACCATTTTAATATTACTGAAAATTTTAAAAATATTAGGTGCTCAGTAACTTCTCATGTATAAGGTTTTTTTTCTTAAGGATATTTTTACATACACAGTTGTGTTGTTCCTTTCTTGCTGTACTTGGATATTGTTAAATAGGAGATGGTGGGTACTTATGGAATCATTCCTAATATGACTTGCTATTCTTATTATGGTATGCTATGTATAAAATAGAACTTATCCTAAGCACTTGTAAGTGAACTGTTCAATGGCATTAAGTACCTTCATACTGTGACCACTGCACAGTAACTCATTCTACCCACCCAGCAGCTGCTCCTAACACTTATATTTGCTTTCATTCTTTTAAATCATCTAATGAGTAGTTGCAGAAGAATTTCTGAGGTCTGGTTTATGTTATTTAGGAATGTAAATAATTTTGTTTAGAAATGTGTTTCTGGTGGTAGCATAAGAATATAGAAAAATGTTGTAGTTTGTCAGTGAGATATTCTTTTTGTTGGTGGTGGTGTCTGCCCGTGAGCTTGAACTTTGTCCCTAAGCTATTGTGGTTAAGGCTTGCACTCTACTACTTTAGTCATAGCTGTACTTTTAGCTTTTTTAGTGTTTAAATTAGAGATAAGAGTGTCACGAACCTTACTGCTTAGTCTGGTTTCCAGATTTCAGCCTCCTGAGTAGCCAGGATTTCAGGTATGAGCGACTAGTGCCCAGCCAATGAGATATTTTTGAGGGTCGATGTAGTGTAGTAAAGACTGGTAGATGTAATTTGATGAGAAGGAATAGAGAACATGAGTCCTAATGATACAGATTCATATCAAGTTGTTTAAAGTAGAGAAAATATATAGAATGCAGTGTACAAAGTGATTGTGTATTAGACAACAATCTGGATTTTTTAAGGATCCAGATTTGTTACCATTTGGTATTGCCCTACAATTTTATCAAAAGTAGAGAATAGAATAGGGTTGGTTGGGAAAAATCATTTATATTTAAGTAATTCTCTGTGTTTTTTCAATTAAAATGATTTCCTAGTAGTATATAGTAGAATTACTTAAAGAATGAATGGAATAATGTATTTTATTTTAAACCTATTTTTCTCCTCCCTTGCCTCCAGATTTCTATGAAACCATTTGTCTTATAATTGTATTTCAGAAAATCTCATGTTTTCAGAGGGAAAAGGGCGATTGTTGTGAAATTTACTTGGGTAAAACTGTGATTCAGAAATGTGGCTTGCAATGATGTGAAAAAATTCTCCTAATTTGTTAGGATTTTGAGACAAGGTCTCAATATGTAGCTTAAGCTGTCCTAGCGTTTTGATCCTCTTGCCTCAGTCTCCTAAGTGTGATGGTTTACAGTGTGTGCTCTCATGCTGTTTCTACCACTATGTCCGATAGGCAGTAACTTTTGCTTTTGTATGTTTCCATTGTTCCATTACATAAACATGTTTTCTGTTCATATATAACTATCATACTGTATATACTATTTTGCATTCATATCCTGTCACTCTTAAAAAATGTGTTTCATTTATGCCTATTAGTATAGGACAAACTTAGAAATCATTTTGTAGTTTAGCATCAGTTTTGGTTAGTTATATATAGAATATTTGGCACACTTCAATAATTAAACTATTAAATAAAAATTATTTCATAATTGTAATTATTATATAAATCTCAGGTAGCTGAGTAGATCCAGCCCTCTTTGCTTTAGATAGGAAAATCCATATTTTATTATTCTGGACTTAAAACTCGTAAAAACCCTGAAAAATTTCAGGCTTGTCAAGATAGTCATATGGTTGTTAGTGTGCCGTTCCAGTTATGAGTAAGGAGTGAAGAATGCCAATTAGGTCATATGATAAATTGGTCTGTTTAGAAATCAAGAGAACTTTTAGACTAACAGCAGTTTTCTTTATCAAGTGTTACAATAAATTTCTTTTCTCTGTTAATGTTGATTGTGTCTACATATGTAATGTAGTGTGGTAGTTGAATTAAGATTTATAATTGACTTCTGAATTAAATTGTGCTATTATTTTATATGTTTATTGCTGTTCCTTAGCTTTAGCTAAAGAGAGTTGACCAAAAGTAGAAAGCACAATGTAACTATTTTCTTGGCTGATGGATATATTTTGGTAGTAAATCCTTGACTTTAATAGTATTTGAAGAATAAAATGATAATAGTTACTGATTATTATTTATTTTTTTTGTGCTGATCCTGGACTTGAAGTCTGGGCCTGGGCACTGTTCCTGAGCTTTTTTGCTCATGGCTGGTACTCTACCCCTTGAGCTACACCTTCACTTTTGGCTTTTTGGTGGTTAATTGGAGACAAGAGTTTCACAGATTTTCCTACCTGGACTGGCTTTGAAACACAATCCACAGATCTCAGCCTCCTGAATAGCTAGGATCATAAACGTGAGCCACTGGCGTTTGGCTAATTTTCAGAGGTATCAGTCCGTCATGGCAGAGGAGGAACTGCAAAGCACAGCAGCTTGCATCGTGGAGGTCAAAAAGCAGAGATAATGACTGCTAATAAACTTTCTCTGTTTACCATTTTCATTCCATTTGGGCCCTACCGTATGGGATGGTGCCATCCATTTTCATGCTTCCTGAATTTTGATTTCTTTCTACTCAGTTTAGTGATATTGCTTACTCTCTTCTTGGGATCACCATCCTTTCACTGTGATCTGCAGTTAGGTAGTGAGTATACACTAATATAGGAAGGAGGTTGAGACAACCCTATAGTTTAAATAATGTGTCTTCTTCCTTGGGGAATTATTCAACAGTACTGCCTATAGCCTAATGTCTAACATTTGTGTGTGTGTGTAAATCTGTTAAATGTGATTATTATGTATAGTATAATACAACTATTACATCAGATATTTTTTCCTTTAAAAGAAATTGACAGCAATATCATTTGACTTAAAGCCAGAAGAGATGTACCTTCCCTGGTTCTAAGATATGGGCAGGTGGGGAGTGAGCTTAGAGGAATAGGTTGGAAATTGGACCAGCAGTCAGAAGCCACTGAGGAAGATACAACATGGGAAACTTCCACAGTGTTTTGTCCTTATCAAGAAGGAATGTCTTAATTATACTCTTGCATCCCTGTAAACAGTCTCCATATGGGGTGCAATGTCCTTGAGTGTCAGATTTCTTGAGTGCCTAACTGGCATATTCCACTCCGTGGGCTTGTCTGTACTTCCTCTTTCCCGTGGTGGTTGTAGAACAGCGGCTGACCCACTGTAGCCAGCTCCTGGAGGTGATCAGGCATGGCTTAGGCCCAGAGAAAGCTGGACCTACTACTGTGGGACACATTTGTCCATATATATTTAAAACTTATTTTCTCAGTTTTCTAATTGTACAGCAGGAATATAAATTTGGTCACATTAATTCCATCACAGCTGGAGCTGTAAGTCTTAGGCCTACCAAGGCCTATTTTTAAAACCCTTCCATGTACAATTAGCTTGAAATGTCTAAACTATGATTAGTAAGCAAGAGAGTTAATTTTATTTGAAAAATTTGAAAGGAACTAGTTAGTGTACAGTTTTTTAAACATATCATTAATAAAAATTAGACTACTCTACCATATCATTACTTTTGTATAGTAGTCTGTTGGCTGCCAAAACTTAAGGAGGAGGGGAAGGCTAGATATATTATTAACCATTATGTTTCTCATTTTGCAGTCCTAAAGATTGTCTCCGGTCTATTATGAGGCGAGTGAACCATAAAGACCCCCATGTTGCTATGCAAGCTCTGACTGTAAGTTGTTTCATTTTAAGCTGTACTGGAAAGTATTTGCCAGAATTGAGCCTCTTTAACCTCTGATTTTATGTTTCTAGCTTCTAGGAGCATGTGTATCAAACTGTGGCAAAATTTTTCATTTAGAAGTATGTTCACGAGATTTTGCTAGTGAAGTAAGCAACGTATTAAATAAGGTATGTAGTGTTATTTTGGAAATTAAGATAGTCTTCTTCATGTATTCTAATGTTCTGCTCTACACATTTCCAATCACAAAGGACTATTCTGTGTGTGTCCTAGGCCATGTTGCGACTATATGTCTGTTCTATGCTTTCCATATTAATTTGAGAGTTGATTTTTTTTTCTTTTTTTGGCCAGTCCTGGGGCTTGAACTCAGGGCCTGGGCACTGTCTCAAGGCTAGCATTCTACTACTAAGCCACATTCCCAGCCTGAGAGTTGATTTTTTTCAAGCCACAATAAAGTGAGTTTTAACTTTTCCCATCTTCATTTCTTTCATCTAAGAAAACATATTTCTTTATCTAATTAAATAATATCCATGTATTTTAGGCATAGTTTTTGTCATCATTTTTTTTTTTGTAGCCACAGAACTATTTTTCTAATGTTGACCTCTTTAGAAAAGACTGCCAGAATATGAGGCATTGTTGAATTTTCATCATACATGATAGTCATTACAGGATTTTAGTGCTGTATATGTTTTAGCATTATAATGCTATCATTATCATGTCAGCCAAAATTTTCAGTTGCCCCAAAAGTGATGGCTGGGAATTTTCTTCCAGCGATTGTCCCAAACCATCCTTAGATGGGCCACTATGATTCCAAAGGGAGAAGCACTGATTGTTTCAAAGCATTTGTCACATTGACTTCTGTACGTTGGCTGGCAGTGCTCTTCTGATGACATTGAGAAAAGGACGTTCTGTTTAGTTCTATCTTGAATGAGGTGGTCAGGACATGGAGTTTCTATGAGGGTTTAAGAAATTTACCTCAGACAAAGGCAAGTGTTTGTTTACCAACATCTTTGATCTTTCAGTGTTTCATACAACAACTTGGATAATTTTTATCCATGCCTGGGAATGTTTAGGGTCCTTGTTTGGGTGCAAGTATGTAGAAGAAAATAGGTAGCTGGCCAGACCACACAGAGGTCAAAATGTTCTGTGTTTCTCCAGGACACAGAAACACAGTAGGGGAACCTGGGTGGCCTTGAAATTGCCAACTTATTTGCATGTGAGACCAAAACTTCAGTTCTACAATTCAGGGAATTAAAAAAAAATTAGTAAGTAATATGAGTTTTCTTAGTAAACATTTGTTCTAGCTACTTGGGAAGTGGGGAGGCAGAGATTGGGAGAATCATGATACAGTGGCAACCAGGCCAAATCAAAAACCAAACAAAAACTCAAATTCTTGAGACCCTATCATAACTAATAAAAGCTGGGTATGACAATACATTTCTGTCATCCCATTAGCAAGAAGCTAAATAGGAATGTCATATTCCAGGATGGCCTAAACATAAACAGGAAACCTTATTTGAAAAATAACTAAAGCAAAAGGGATGAAGTCGTGGGCTCAAGGGTTAGAGTACCTAATTTAAAAAGGTGTGGCCCTGAGCTCAAATCCCAGTATGGCCAAGAAAAAAAAGGAATTGAGGAACTGTACCAGTAATTCTGTCCCTGACAGTTTTCCATTGGTCTTCAAAAAGCAAGATAAAAATAAACCAATTTATCTTTCTGATGTGTAAAGTATATTTTAGTTGCAGAATTCTCTAAAAATCCATGTCTTTCTGATTTTCATAATTAAGCTATTGCATATCTAATGTTGAATTTTGAAGTGATTCAGATATAATTTTATATATATGTTAAACGACATTTCTAATAATTGCATTTTCTTATTTTCACATGGGTCTATAGGAATAAATTATGATTCAGAAAGATATATATATATATATGACTTCTCTATTTCAAATATTTGAAATAAATAATTTGTAATTTTCTAACATTTCTGTATTAAATGTCTATATTAAATGTCTAGTGAAGAAATAGGTACTTTATATTCTTTTTCCCTATTCCTTAGGGTCATCCTAAAGTTTGTGAGAAATTAAAGGCGCTAATGGTGGAGTGGACAGATGAATTTAAGAATGACCCTCAGCTTAGCCTAATATCAGCAATGATTAAAAACCTTAAGGAACAAGGAGTTACCTTCCCAGCTATTGGCTCTCAGGTATTTTGAAAGTCTCTTGTGTTACGGTTTGCATTTCCATAGTAGCATGTTTGTTTGACATTTTCTTTACTGCATTCCTGCTACTTTTATGTTAGTCTTAAATTCAGAGGTGCCTAAAATGCCATAGTGGAATATGCCATTGTCCCATCTTCATCTCTCCCACTATTTCACCTTTATAAATCAAGTGGCTTGCAATTGCAAACCTTTTAACATAGATTAACGTAGTTACAATCAGAATTACTTTTTTAAATCAGGTAGTCCTATAACGGTCTCAGTAAATTTTCATAATGCTATAATTTTATCTACAAAGAATGACAGCTCAGATATCCGTGTATCTTTAAACTTTAGGGATGAGTTTTAAGATGTTTTTACTAGGAAATTATATTAAAAATGAAAAGGAGATAGGAGGAAGAAATGAAAGAGATGCATACAAAACTGCTTTTCCTTAATAAGAACCAGAATATAAGTCCTCTTCTTCTTGCTCAACTGATATGATTGAACTGGTTTACTCCTCCCCTACCCCAACATTGTTGATTTAATGGGATCAATCTTTGATTTATGTCATATAGGAAAAAGATGAAGTGATATCTTCTGTATTTGTTTTTTAGATAGCATCCTTTAGGGTGCCCAACTGATGTGTAGCTGGCCAAAAATGTTTGGTATTTAATATAGTGCCTGTCTTGTAGTGTCTGGATCAGGACAAATGTTGAGTGGTGTGAAATAATGACGGGAACACCCTCTCTATGAAGGACTTGCCATCTCAGTACTTCAAGGAGTTTTGTAGATTACTGCTTTCACCCACAGATATCTAGATTTTCTTTCTACAGCATTTCCATTTTGGAGTGCTCTTAAGATTGTGAAAATCTAGGAATATATCTGAGAGAGCATGGAAGCAAAGGACATTTTTCTCTTACGGGAAAAAATCAGTTTATGATGAATTTTATAGTGCTTTGAGGCATTTTCATGTTAGTTGGCGTTTACTAAGAATAATTTTGAAATCTATAATTAAGGGACAGTTTTATTCAGTGTAATCCAAAATATGTTGATACCAGAAGCAATGTGTATTTATATAACAGTTGATTGACTTCAGAGAACCAGACAATTCAGATACTTGATAGAATTGCATCTTTTATACCTATTCTAGAACTTGTTATACAAAATGTTATTCATCGATAAGCCTTATGAGGATAATACAGTTAAAAAGTAGTGGAAATGGGATTTGAAACCATGTTTGCCTGACTCCAAAACTTGGCTTTTTAATCACCATTTCATCATACCTTGTTTGACAGTGTTATTAGAGGAACACAGAAGAGAATGTATAATTACAGAGTTTAGGAGAAAGTGATGCTTTTAGCTGCCTGCTGATTGGTGAGTTGACTAAAGAGTTGACTAACCAGTGATGTAACTAGAGGAGGAAGAATACTGTAAGTTGGAGTAAATGGGGTATAGGCCAGTACATTGGCTGCTCAGGAGCTGCTAGCAGCTTCTAGTGTCTGGTAGAATGGTTGAAATGAACCTGGCAAAACAAGCTGAATTTTGATTTGGAGTGAATGCATGCAAAAAATGAGAAGCTTGTCATTCTAGACATGTGAATCACATTGTATGTGTACTTACTGTACATTATCTTATTTATATAAGATATGTTTATTTTTATTATAAGATATATAACTATTCTTACTTATATAAGTTATGTTTAATTTGAGCAGTAGTATACTGCCAAAATTTTAGTTTATAATAGCATTTTAGGCCACTTCAGGTTGTTCATAAAGAGATAACTACTGAAGTAAGTGTTTTGAACTGTTTGTTTTTAAAATAATCATCTGCTTCCATCTTCTAACCTCTCAGTTTAACCTTGTACGCAAAAAGAGTTTTTCACTTTTTTTTCTTTAGTTGATCATGGGGCTTGAACTCAGGGCCTGGGTGCTGTCCCTGAGCTCTTTTTTTTTTCTTTTTAGTATTTCTACCTTTCAGTATCAAATTTATTAAATATAATTCTGCTTAATACTTAACATTTAAGTAAAACAAATTATTTCTCCCAAAATAATAAAATTACTTTTATTATTTTATTGAAATAAAATTGTACCTTTTAAAAGTACAATTGAATAAATTCATCAATGGAAACTTTTAACCTAAGCATACTACAAATATCATCACAATGAAGATAACAAATATCATTATTACTCCCGTGCTTTTGATAGTTGTTCAGTCATTCGCAATCCTTAAGTATTTACTATTTTTGATGCTGACATTATTGTTTAGTATAAATTTCTGATTATCTGTTCAAGTATATAAGAATACAGTTGGTCTTTGTAGTAATTGTAAGAATACAGTTGGTCTTTGTAGTAATTAAACTCCCTACTCCTCGGTTTTTGTAGGTTTCATAAGATTTATTTTCTCTATACTGCTCCATCTTCTATTTGTAAAAAAGTGTTTTTTTTTTTTCTTCTTTTCAGATCTGAGTAATTTTATTTGATTTTCTTATATTATTGCTTGGATACAATTGGCAGTCGAGTGTTAATTGTAAAAGCAAAAACATTTCCCTGTGAGTGGAGCAGAAACACACAACTCTTTTGCTTTAGCCAACATTCTACCACTTTGAGTTTTCTTGTGTTTAATTGGAGAAAGAGTTTCATGGACTTTGCTGCCCAGGCTGGCTTCCAGCCATAATCCTCAGATTTCAGTCTCCTCAGTAGCTAGGGATACAGGTGTGAGCCACTGGCACCAAGCTTGCTTTTCACTTTTAAGTGTCCAGATGCTTTTTATTCTCTTTTTCCTGATTTTGACTGTTCCCTCTCCTTTGTAAGGTGGAATATTTTTCAGATTGGATTCTTCTTTTAGAAATCTATAGTAGTTTGTTGAAAGTAGTAGATGGATACAAGTTCTTAGACTAGGTATTTGTTGGGGAATTTAAGAGAACTCTCAAATATTGTGTTCTTTGTGTGTGTGTGTGTGTGTGTATGTGTGTGTGTGTGTGTGTGTGTGTGTGTCAGGCTGCAGAACAAGCAAAAGCAAGTCCAGCTTTAGCAGCCAAGGATCCGGGAACTGCAGCCAACAAAAAGGAAGAAGAAGACTTAGCAAAAGGTATGTCCCTGGATGTGTTAAGAAAACTAAGCAGCTTCTTATTTTTGTTGTTATTATTGTGGTGATGGTGGTGTTGGGTCTTGAATTTAGGGCCTTGCGTGATGCTCTACACTAAGCCATGCCTCTGGCCATAGATTTTCCTTTAGATATTGAAAGATAAAAGAAAATTACAACTAAAGTAGAAATATACCCTACTCCCTCTTTAGTGCCATTTCTTTCCTCTTCAGGGGCAACTACTACCATGTATGTACTTTCAGTCTATGTTTTTGTATTTTCATTACATTGTATATCCAAAAACCAATATCACATACTTTTGTTGCTCACCAAATTCTTTTTTTTATAAGCAGTACTTTGGAAGTACCACATGCAACTTGATTTTTTTTATTATGTTTGAAATCTGTTTATGATGAGACCCTATAAGTTAATTTGTTTTAATATTTAATAATTCCAATGAAGTAGCATATTATATCCTTTCTGTTCTCTACTGGTAGGCATTTGTGTTCTTTCTGGTTTTTTTTTTATACTGACAGTGTGTGGTAAATGTTCATCTACATGTTTTCTTGCACATATGTATATAATACTATGGATGACTAAGTGATATTGTTGGATAATGGAAGAGATGTGTTTTCAACTTTGCTAAATGTTTGAATGATTTTATTTCTCCATACACAATGTATTGAGGCTTAATTCTGAATATTTATAATTTCCTGAAAACAGTTGATACTGGCACAAGTTTAATTTTTGTGACTGATGGGTTTGAAGTAACAATAAGTTCTAGGTGAACTTGAAACACTTAAATTTTCCAGGTGATTTTGATGATCATTTTGAGAACTTAAAATATTAAATATCTGTTACTAAACATTCTTTAAAAGTATATTTTTATTGTCTAGCATAATTAAAACTTTTATCTTTTTCAGTAAAAGTAATAGTCAGGGCCTGGCTGAGTGGCTGAAGAGGTAGAGTGCTTGCTTAGCAAGCATGAACACCTGAGTTCAAATCATAGTCTCCCATGGCCAAAATAGTCATGAACAGTTTTTTAAGATTTATCTTTATATTTTCACTTGTGAGTGAATGAACATAATTGACATAATGATTTGTGTTCACTATGTGAAGTTTGGTCCTATTTTTTTTCTATACTGTGAGGAAAAAAAATGTTACTTGTTCGTGAGTTATGTTTTGTACCTTTTGAGATTGTCGGGGTCTTTAAAACTCATTATTTTCCAGCCATTGAGCTGTCCCTCAAGGAGCAAAGGCAGCAGTCAACTACCCTTTCCACTTTGTACCCAAGCACCTCCAGTCTTCTAACTAATCACCAACATGAAGGCCGAAAAGTTCGGGCCATCTATGACTTTGAAGCTGCTGAAGATAATGAACTTACGTTTAAAGCTGGAGAAATTATTACAGTTCTTGATGACAGGTAGTGATTAGTTATAAGTTACAATTATAATTCTTGTGAAAATATAAGCAATACTTTTGTGTTTCACATTATTACTCTTTAATGCAGTTACCAGATGTAATCAAAATATTAACCAGATATTTAGATGATAATTTATTTGCTTCTCTGTCTTTTATATATTCTTATTTTGTAGCTTAGGGTTTTGTCTCATTTTTTAAGATTTTATATTTTTTTGTAAGCCTATTTGTGGTTCCACTTAAAAATACAGATGGTTAAATCATTTTAAACATTTTAGAAAATACATTGACTTTAGAAAATACACTAGTTTTTGAGCTGGGCGCTGGGGGCTCATGTCTGTAATCCTAGCTACTCAGGAGGCTGAGATTCTGAGGATTAAAGTTCAAAGCCAGCCGGGGTAGGAAAGTCCATGAGATGCTTATCTCCAATAAACTAGAAAACCAGAAGTGGTGCTGTGTGTGGCTCAAGTGGTAGAGCACTTGCCTTGAGCTGAAGAGCACAGGGACAGCTCCAAAGCCCACAGTTCAAGCCCCATGACTGACAGAGCAAAAAAGAAAATATACTAGTTTTGTAAGAAGTTCCTAATTTCTTGATTTTACTTATGCAGAACAATATCCATGTGGAACAAAATGATTTTATGCTACATTAACAGAGAAGTGCATCATTTTTTCAAACTACAGCTAGATGATGATTTAAGTGACAATCAGTACTAGTAGAATTTGCAAGTGGTTTTTAAAAAATAAGTTGAGATTGATTTAGGGTTATCTCTGTATTGTCATTGACTAGCCATTTTTGTTGCCATAATAAACCACTGTGGTCTGGGTGATTTAAATAACAAATTCATTTCTTACAGTTGTAAAGGAAGAAAAGTACAGATCCCCCAGAGTCCATTGTTCCTCTTATTACAAGTAGGGAATAAGATTACCAATCCCATTCCAGACTTTCTCCATATTACCTAATCCTCTTCTAAAGACCCCTCTATCACCATGGAAATTAGGATTTCAAAAGACAAATTTTAGATCAGATTGTAGCATTTATATTTTAACATTTTCATGTATACAGAAAGCTGTAAAATTTGATACTTAGAATGACACAAAACTTGAGTTTTTTAGTGACCACATACTTGCTTTCTAAGTAGTGAGCATGGAGAAATATATGGTGTTTGTGTTTAGATACTGAAAGTGTGCTCTTTGTGAAGTATTGTACTCTGGGAGGTATGGTGTAGCTTGCTAATGAGTACTAGTAAGAACAATGGTTTAGTGTGAATTAGTCTACCTTTATATCTTACGATCAACAGTCTGGAGCCCTTGAGCCACCTAAAATTGAGTTTTTAAGCAGTAGGATGATAGGGTTCATAGATTTTCCATTAGATTCTCAAAGTAGTCACTGATCTTCAAAAAGATGCAGACCTGCAGAGATTGTTTCAGGCCTCATTTCTTATTGGTAGTGAAGATCCATTCATTGGCTTCTTTAGTAGATTGTTGTGGGATTCCAATCTAGCAGTAAGTTAAATAGTATAAAAGATAAAAAATTATAGAGATGAAAATATAGTAAAGCATTCTTTTTTGTTCATAGTGATCCTAACTGGTGGAAAGGTGAAACTCATCAAGGCATAGGATTGTTTCCCTCTAATTTTGTGACTGCTGATCTCACTGCTGAGCCAGAAATGAGTAAGTGTTTTTCAGTCTGTCCACCAATGATAGATAATCCACAGTCTTCTCAATGAAAGTTGGGTTAAAGTCAACTGTCTGGAGCAGTGGCTTTTCAAATGCTAGTGGACTAGGTATTCGTTGAAAATTGCAAAAATAGGGCTGGGAAGGTGGCTCAGTGGTAGAGCGCTTGCCTTGCATGCATGAGGCCCTGGGTTCAATTCCTCAGCACCACATAAGCAGAAAAAGCCGGAAGTGGTGCTGTGGCTCAAGAGATAGAACGCTAGCCGTGAGCTGAAGAGCTGAGGGACAGCGCCCAGGCCTGGAGTTGAGGCCTCACAACCAGAAAAATAAATAAATAAATAAATAAATAAATAAATAAATAATGCAGAAATAACCTGTAAAAATTGAAGTCCTTTAATCTGTCAAGATTATTTCCAGACAGAATATAGACTTTTTAATAGCATCTGTAACCATTTGTATAAATGTGATTATAAAAGTACAAGTCATTAAGAAGTGTTCTTTTCAGCTAAAGAGTGACAAAACAGTGTGACCTCTTAAAGGGCAGGGCAGCTTTTTGGTTTCTAGCCCTAGACTTGACAGCAATCCTATGTCCCCAGGTCAGGTATACTGAAGGAGCCATATTAACTGTGGTATTTAACTAATATGTAATGATTATTTTGTTGTATTCTCAAACTTTTGATGATGAGGAAAAAGAACTAGAATATGAGGCCATGGAGAAAAAGCAGTTTTCAAGGCAGCTATAATAGTTGCAGGAGATATAATCGCCATTATTCTATCAGAGTATTGGGGTACATTTATTGGTGACACTGAATTTCATAGTGAATTTGAGCCATCAAGTTTAAGCTTCTGTTACTTAAGAAAACATGTGTTCAGGCCTGGGAAAGCTTTCTATTAGTGACTGCAAGACTTAAAATTTCTACATTTTCTATGTAAGTTTGTAACCTGCAGTCTCCAGCTATATGCCTTTTTGTCTTCCAAAGAAAGTGACAAGCCATAACATCCCCAGTTATTTTTTAGTTCATAGGAATTTTATGACTTTTTGTCTTCGCATCTTTATTTTTCTCCCATTTGCACTGGATCTTACCTACAATGTATGTTACATACATATTTATAGAATAAATAATGTGTAAATAACATGTGTTAACAGTGAATATATACTTCACTTCTCTTTGAAGAGAGAGTTTTAACCTCTCGCAGTTACTGCCAGCTTATCTTGTTTCACTTTTTTTTTTTGTCGGTCATGGGCCTGAACCCTGGGCCTGGGTGCTGTTCCTCAGCTCTTCAGCTCAAGGCTAGCGCTCTACCACTTGAGCCACAGCCCCACTTCTGGCTTTTTCTGCTTATGTGGTGCTAAGGAATCAAACCCAGGACCTCATGCATGCAAGGCAAGCACTCTACCACTGAGCCAACTTCCTACCCCCTTGTATCACTTTTGTAGCGCAGATTTCAGTCATGTTCTTTTTTGCTATTACTAAAAACATGTGATGATTTATTTCAATGGCATTGTATAGTATTCTTTTTAATAACTTGGGCAGGTTGTATTGTTCTTTGGGTATTGCGGTTTTATTTTGTTTTAGTGCACCACGTGTTAGAAAGATTAAAATGGTTTTGGACTGTTCTTCAAGACAATTTAAGATGTCATGCATTAATGTGAGTCATGTCTGTCTCAATTTTTTTCCATTGTATGGCAGAGCAACTTTATTATGAGCTTTCTAGTATTTTGTGTCACTGGGCAATGAAAAGAGAAACAGAAGGATCCAAGTTCATGTAATTTAATTGTGATTTTCAAACTTGAAAAATGGTTGCTATATGATCCACATTTAATCTGTCATATAGAAACATTTTTTCTACTTAGTTGTCTTGGAGTTATAGTTTGATACTGTGAAAATGTCATATATATATATATATATATATATATATATATACGAAAGCAATATTTTTACAGTCCACACATATAGTATTAGAAGCTGTGTGGAAGAGGGCTCCAAACTGCATTGTCAGCTGTATTCTCTTCTGAGTAAGAGCCAATGCAGTACTGTATCAGCTTCCTATTTGTTAATAACTTACAGTGTAAAACACAAAAGTTTCTGTAAGCAGATGTCTCTTTTCCCTTGTGGGAAAATGAACCTGCTGAAGTTTTTTTGTTTGTAGAATTTTGGTTTATGGTATTTTGAATGGAGTGAACATATTCTTCATGTTGGAAATCCAAGTGTTCCTATTTTATGTAAAGGCACACAACACAAAATTCAGTGTTGGTTAAGACTTGTTTTCAGAATAAAATCACAAGCCAGACCCCCCCCCCACTGGTTTGCTAAGAGAACAAGATGGATTGACAGTCAAATCCAGGCATTGCTATTTATTAGGTTTGCTCTTCTAGTTTCTTATTTGATCTTTCTAAAACACCTTTCTTAAAAAATGGGCTTATCATATAGATTTGTTTTGGAGAGTCATTGGGGAATAATATATTCCATCAACATTGAATAGTTTATTTCCCTTTTGTTCTGGTTTGCCATCTCTCTTTCACTTTGGATTCTTAGTATTTTTATGATTTCTGAATGATCTTACTGCTGGAAGGGTGAAAAATACAAATTCTTTAGAAACCATATGTGCCTTTTAGTATTATTTGGAGAAGTTGCTATTTTAATTATTTACTAAATTATATTTTTTCTTGCTTTTTGGATTTTGTCGTTGGGTTCTTTTTTCAAGATAGGCTCTTACTTATTGTGTAGCGAGCATGACCCTTGAGGTTGAGGTTCTCTTACCTCCACTTTCATTCATTCATTTATTTATTTATTTGGGTCTGGTCGTGGGGCCTGAACTCTGGGCCTGGGCGTTGTCCCTCAGCTCTTCAGCTCAAGGCTAGCGCTCTACCACTTGAGCCACAGCGCCACTTCTGGCTTTTTTTCTTTTTCCTTATTTGGTGCTGAGGAATCAAACCCAGGGCCTCATGAATGCAAGGCAAGAGCTCTACCACTGAGCCACCTTCCCAGCCCCCTACCTCTGCTTTCTGAAAGCTGGAATTAAAAGTGTATTATCATACCTAACAGTATTAAAGATCGATTTTGGTGAGCATAAAAAAGTACTCTGTCCAATGACAACTTTTTCTTTTCATAGATGAATGTAACTAGAAAATACAGGCTTAAATTGCTGGTAAGTTAAGATCTCTGCCAAGGCCATATACACAGTTCTTCACTGGCCTGGATGTTGTTACGTTGGCAGAGTGCTGGAGCACATATAGCTGACTTTCAAACTTAGTATGTTGAAGAAGAGTGTTTTTTTTTTTTTTCTTCAAGTGAGACTTTTCTTTTAGGAAGATTGTTAATTTAGAAAGAGGATTTGTTTAAAGTTGCAGAATTCATTTATGCTATTGTTAAATTTCACTTTTTCTAGCAATTTACTGAGCTCTTTAGAGGGTGATTTATATTTGTTTTGAACATAACTACTTTAATGAAGTCTCTTATAGAAAGCATGAAGTCTTTATAAGAGAGAATTAAGAAATCTTTATGGAATTTCATAATGTTCTGCTATTGTTTCTCAAATCTGCATTCCAGTCATTTCTTAAATTGAGTCTTAGCTTGATGGGAAGAAGAAATCAATTCTAAATTTTACCTTATTACTTAAAACTTTAAATACATTCAGGATATATTATTTTAAACGTATTTTACAGTTAAAACAGAGAAGAAGACAGTACAATTTAGTGATGAAGTTCAGATAGAGACAATAGAACCAGAGCCAGAGCCAGCCTTTATTGATGAAGTAAGTAATTTTCTTGGTAATGTATTTCATACTTTGTACTAAAGTTGGAATGCTTGTTTTTTTTTAAAAATAGTTGATGGCAAGTATACTTCATATTTTCTTATTATAAAAAGTCAATATAGACAAAGCAGAGATAATTGTTGAAACTTTCTCTCTTAATTGTGCTTTTGCCCTAGGAAGACCTCATTATTTTAAATTCTCATTTAGGGGACTGAGCATGCTCCAATAAGATGGAGTCATTAGGATTTTTCTGCTCAGGTTGGAGTTCAACCATGATCCTCCCTGTCTCAGACTATTAAGTAGCTAGTCTTACAAGCATGAGCTTTCAGCACATGGCAATTTTATACATTATTTTAATTGTAAGGAAACTTAACAGAGTTAGACTTGAAAGTGTATTACCTAAGGGTAAAAAATTTTGGAAGTACAGTGAGATCAAGAAGAGAGAGGAATAATTTGAAATTCTGGGCAGACTTTGTTTTTGGTTTTGATTTGGGGCTAGAGATATAACCCAGGGCCTTTCATATGCCAAGCAAGTGCTTTACCAAACTTCATCTCTGGCCTATGTTTTACAAAATGGTAATGTTGATTACAAATTGCTTTGGTATTTGAAATCCTCTGAATATATTTAAAAGAATGAAGTTTTTGTTTTACAATGTCAATACATAATGTACTAGAAAAAATACATATCTTCTGTAACATTTTAAACAGGAAAAATCATCTTTAAGGTATGTAAAAGAATCTGTAAGTTTTGACATTATTTTGGAAAGACAGAAGCAGACAATTTTCAAAGTGCTCTTCGAGAAAAACATTGTAGAAGACTGTTTAGAGCCAAGGAATCAGCTAAGTCAAGAAAAAGCTGTATTTGGTGAAATTGCATTACAGAGAGTCTGAATATAGTCAGACTAGTGGTCTGTATAGAAACCCCATTTCTTTGATAGTAAATCATATTAACCAGTGTATAGTACTTTTAAACAAGAAAAAAAAAGATTTACATGTTAATTGACTCACTTTACCTTTCTGGGATACAGGGCTATAGCCTGATATGTGCTATCTTTATTTTAGACTTCTTTTTCCTCTTGATTTTTTGGTTTATTTTCTCATAGTTTTGAGGTTTGGACCTAGTATAGGGTAGGCAACATACTACCACTGAGTTACATCTCCAGCTTTTTTTTTAGACTTTAATCTTAAAAGGAAAATTGTGACTCTTTTACATTGAAAAATAGTATTCATATCAAAGTATATAATTTATTTGACTTGAGAAGAGTTTTTAATACATTGGGTCACTTCACTCTGAAGATTAGTTCATTACAACTGTGTTCCTTTCTTCCTTTTTTTTTTTTTTTTTGTCAATCATGGGGCTTGAACTCTGTGCCTGGGCTCTGTCCCTCAGCTCTTCAGCTAAAGGCGAGTGCTCTACCACTTGAGCCACAACACCACTTCTGGTTTTCAGGTGGTTTATTGGAGATAAGAATCTCATGGACTTTCCTGCCTGGGCTGGCTTTGAACCGCAATCCTCAGATCTCAGCCTCCTGAGTAGCTAGGATTACAGGCGTGAGCCACCAGCGCCCGGCTTAACTGTGTTCCTTTCTAGAACAGAGTTTTTATTTTAAATAACTGCTTTAGGGTTAGTGGTCTTTAAATTACTTGGCCCTGTGTACTTGTGAATAGTAGTAGTATAACTTCATAAGAACTGTTCATGGAATAAGGTTTGTAATAAACTGTTTTTTGGTAGATTAGAAATACCTATGTACTTACATAATATATATTGATGATTTATTTGTTCCATTGGTTCATAACAGCAGCATGTTTCAAAATAGAGGTGTGCCATTGGCTTAAGATGCTGTCCAGTCTTTCCTTCACAGGAGAATGGAAACTACAGTTCCAAACTAGAACACTGGTAGAAAGAAGATGGAGTAAATCTTTAGAGCTCCATTTACGAGAGTAGAAGCTGTAATGGAGCTGAGTTTGGCCTTACTGAATCAGCTGCTGTATTCATTGTGGACAAGAAATAATGACCGAGTTGTTAGTCATAGCAAGCCATCTTGAGAAGGACACCACCCCTGTCACATGGCTAAGTTAACAGCTGCTCCGAAGTGAAAGCTCACGTTTTAACGTGGTAGTCCTATTTCTTCTAATTTGAGAGAAGATCTGTTAGCAGTTTTAAAATATATAAGAATACAAAAAGTGCTGACACAGAAAGAAAATTGCTGCCCATAACTGAATTACAAGTCTTTAATTCATTATCTAGGCTGGGAGGTGAGAACAAAATATTTCACAGATTGGTTGCATTTTTTCACTATTAATTAAATTCCTGTAGGATAAGATGGACCAGCTGCTACAGATGTTGCAGAGTACAGACCCCAGTGATAATCAGCCAGACCTCCCAGAGCTCCTTCACCTGGAAGGTAAGCCTGGTTTTCTGTTTGCCTTGGAAACAAAAAATAGAGGTTGAGGTAATATCTAGTGTTCTGTATTTCAAAGTGGTTTTGGACAAGTGATCTTTAAAATGTATTGTTTCTTCTTAGACATACCATTTAAACCTTAAGTAGGGTTTGTACGCATTTAACATCATAGAGTCTTTTAATTAAGCTGTCACCATCATACTTTTAAGAAAACCAATTTTGGTTTATGGTATGTGAAATTACTATAATTTTTATTATTCCAAATTAAACTTTTATTCCTCTATGAATATCAAAAGTTCACTTTCTTTTGTTGTGTTTTTTCCTTGTTTCTTCAAATACTGTCATCTTAGCAATGTGTCATCAGATGGGACCACTCATTGATGAGAAGCTGGAAGATATTGATAGGTAAGGGAATCCTGGACTGTATTTGCATTGTACATCTTTGCTGAGACTGTCTCTAAGTTGCAGGGTGGGCTTTGTCTGCCTTTTCACAGAGGTAAAGGAACCATTCCCTAGTCACTTGTTTTCAACTTGATATAAAAATTGGACTTACTTATCCTTATGTAAAAGTGAAGATGTAATTGATCTTTCCTGTCTTACTAATCTTTTTAAAAATAAGAGTTGGCTAGTATAATAATGCTTCCTAAAGTGATGTTGTCAGAGCCCACAGGTAAGCCATCTGTTAATAACAGCAAGCCTAGATACTTTAAGGTTTAGACAAGTAGAATAAACCAGAACTTCCTCGGCACAGTACCTAACCTTAAGTAATTCTGATTGTTTTAAGACCAGAACCCAAGATTTTTTGTCACAAGATAAATTCTTAATTATGTCTGCTGGTATTCTCACTATTTTGATGTATTCTTACTTAAAACGTATTATTTCAGCAACAAATTATGTTTCAACTTATTGCATAATTTTTCAGAAAACATTCAGAACTCTCAGAACTTAATGTTAAAGTGATGGAGGCACTCTCATTATATACGAAGTTAATGAACGAAGATCCAATGTATTCCATGTATGCGAAACTGCAGAATCAGCAGTATTACATGCAGCCAGGTGTTTCTAGTTCTCAGGTATGCCATAAGCTCAAGTCTGTGTTTTAAAATTTTCTTAATACATTTGAGATCATTTGTAATCTAGTTTTGCAAAATATGAAACTTTCTTTCCTTTTTGTGTATATGTTGGTCCTAGAGCTTGAACTCAGATCCTGAGCACTGTCCCTGCTTAAGCCTAGAGCTCTACCATTTGAGTCATAGCTTCACTTCCGTTTTTTTTGTTGGCTAATTGGAGATATGAGTCTCAACAGACTTTTCTGCCTGGGCTGGCTTCAAATCTCAATCATCAGATCTCAGTCTCCTGAGTAGCAAGGATTACACTTCAGAGCTGCTAGCACTCAGCTATAATGCTTTAAAGCAAGCTTTTTTTTTGAGATAATGTCTCATTACTTTGCTCAAACTGGCCTTGAACTTGTGACCCTCCTGTCTCAGTCTTCAGAATGCTGCATTTATACATGTACTTCCACCATACCTAGCTAAAATATGAACCTTTCTAATTGTAATGACTAAAATGAAAATAAAGCTTCGTAGAAATTTTCTTTTACTCAAGAAATAATGTTCTAACATAGTAAATGTACTAATGGTTTTTTATTGCTTTAGTGCAAGGACAGGCAGCAGAATTCCCTATCAAGGTTCTTCCCTTACCTTATGGTGATAGGTGATACTAGGGTCTTGTACTACCCTTGTTTTATTGAATCAGAATCTCTCCAGTTGAGGCTTTTGTTTTAAATATTTTAAAGCTTGATATTTAATTATCTGATTAACAACTTCAGTGTCATTTATGTTGACTTTCTTGTTAGTACTAAATTCTTTTGAGCATAGTTTTTGTCTTACAGGGACTGATTATATGAAATGTTTTTAACACACAAAATAGTGTGAGAGGAAACATAGATTGGTGGATGTGTTTATTACGTGGATTATGGTGATGTTTCAAGGGTATATTTATCTCCAGATCATTAAGTTGGATTCACTAAATATGTACAGCTTTTGGTATATCTGTCGTTTCTTAATAAAATATTTGGTAGAAGCTGTCCAAATTAAAACGTACCATTTCAATGATTGGAAAACTATTTTAAATACCTAACAAATGTCTACTTATCCTGAAAAAGAAAGTTTAAATGCAGTGGGGAAAACTGTTGCAAAGCTATTATAAAACCAACAAAGAAAAAATTTCTTTGAGTTTTTTTTTTGTTTGTTTTGTTTTTTGGTTGGTTGTAGAGCTTGAACTCTGGGCCTGGCCACTGTCCCTGAGGTCTACCACTTGAGCTACAGCATCACTTCCAGTTTTCTGTGGTTTATTGGAGATAAGAGTCTCATGGACTTTCCTGCCCAGGCTGGCTTTGAACCATGAGCCTCAGATCTCAGCCTCCTGAATAGCTAGGATTACAGGCGTGAGCCACTGGCACCCAGCTCTATGAAATTTTTAATAGCTGCCTTAATGGATATCCCCTCCTCCCTTTCACATTAGTATGCATTCATTGTTGAAGATGTGGTTCAGTAGTAGAGCAGTTGCCTAGCATATATAAGGCCTGCCTTTGGTTCAATTCTTAGCACCATGAAAACAAAACATTAGAGTGTTTATATTATAATACACAGTACTTTTTTCTCTCTTGACTTCAGACTGTTTAAGAGGCCCTTTTTCTATGTCCTGGGTATAACAAGAGCAATTAACCAGATACTGTTCTGTTCATAGAATGTTCACAGTGTTTGCTCAGATTAATTTTTTACATGGCCTCTTTCACCTGAAATGAGTGGCCAGTACTTAGTAGATGAGCAGCAAGGCCTGAGAATTCACATGAGGCTAGGTGACATCTGTCAGGAGTCTTCACAGCAGTTTGAGTCAAACGAACAAGTAACATTCGCATTCAGTTTACTATGAACAGTGAACTATAGTCATTAAGGCAGGCAGGCAGGCATAGCTATATTTATAATGAAGACAGTTTGGATTCTGAGAGCTAATATCATTCATGTGGCTTAACTGAAATTCATGATTGTGGCCCTCATCTCTTGGTCACATGTTACTATAATCTTACCACATAGGCAATAGTTCTCATTTCAAACATTTAAAATATATGCTATCGAAAATAAAAACATGTTGAATGAAGACTTTGGGTGTTTAATACTTTAGTCCCTTTTTTCAAAAATTACAACTTTTAGAAATAGAAATAGGCAATCAGATCTAGGCTGCTGCCGATTCTTGAGAAACTTCTATGGAACACAGCAACTCTTAATTTGTTTCTTCGTTATCCAGCTGCATTCTACTTCTGCAAAATTGAGCTGTTTTGACAGATCTGTGGCTCACAAAGCCTAAAGTATTCACTTCGTGGCCCTTTAACAGGAAAGTTTGTTGGCCCCTGCTTGAGAAAATTAGTTTACTTTACACTCATTAAATTGCAATTTAGAAAATGTGAATTATAAATTCAGTCATGACTATAAATCAGTGAACACAAATACATTTCCCTAAAAGTCACTTTAAAATAAATCAGTGTGGGGCCTGGGAAGGTGGCTCAGTGGTAGGGCGCTTGCCTTGCATGCCTGAGGCCCTGGGTTCGATTCCTCAGTACCACATAAGCAAAAAGAAAAAAGCTGGAAGTGGCGCTGTGGCTCAAGTGGTAGAGTGCTAGCCTTGAGCTGAAGAGCTGAGGGACAGCGTCCAGGCCTAGAGTTCAGGCCCCACAACCGGACCCCCCCCAAAAAAAATCAGTGTAAAAAACATTAAATAAATTTAAAAGATTATACTAGCATGAAGTTTCAAGGTAAAATTTTTATGCTTCTGTGGGCAAGATAAGCATACACTAGCCAATGTTTTAGGTTCAGAAAGAGTCTACTGGAAATATTTTACAAAATGCCTCTTGACAGATAACTTGTAAGATTCCAAAGGAATAATTTGTATTCATGTTGTAAATGCCTCTGCAGAAAAAGCTTGAAATGCACATTGAAGTTTTATAACTTGGGTGTGTTTCTGCCTTAATGGTTACAGGTATATACAGGGACGCCTACCAGTGGTGCTTACCTGGTGGCAGGGAGTGCACAGATGAGCCATCTCCAGAGCTACAGTCTTCCCCCAGAGCAGCTGTCTTCTCTCAGCCAAGGAGCCGGTCCACCATCTGCAAGTCCTGCACTTCCTAGTCAACAGACCCAGGCTTCTTACCCCACGTAATTTGATTATCAATGCTTACTTATGGTTAATGATGTTAACATTCTTAATTGCCTGCAATGCTCCATAAACAAAGGTGTGGATAGGAAAAATTGATGATTGATCCACATACCACTGCCACCAGACACCATTGTGGCATTCACATAAGACCTCCTGTGGTAGTACAGTGCTAGCCACAAGCCAGTTCTCCGAGCCACTGAACTGTATTTTAGTTATAGCTTTGTATGTTTACTACAGTGCAGCATGGTAGTTTATTACTAATACAAATAATAGCACAAGTTTTAAGTTTATATCTTACTATGCAGCACATTTGGAATGACAGTGGTGGTATATATAGCACAGTGTTAGGCACACACAGGACAGCCCACAAATGTTATCTCTTGCTGTAATCATTCTCACAGTAGACCAAGTTTATTTTCTCAACTTCCAGTTCCATCACCCAGTTTACAGTTTCATCCTTTAATACTTTCTTTTACCTGTGCTATCCATTACCTCCCTACCACATCACCCAGTTTGCAGTCATTTGCTTATCTCCTAAGTAAATTTTCCCCACTAATATTGTATCATATACTTTTTCAGTTGGCCACAGCTGTTGTTTCTTAGTTTTCTGTCTAACTGCTACTCTTCAGGTTCCTTTTTTTAGGGCTTCTTATTCTTTCTGATTTTAAGAAGTCTAGGATTCCCTGAATAGACTTGTTTTTTCTCCTCAGTCCCTCCCTAGAATTTCATGTAGCCCATGTGCTTATGACTCCCAAATGTTTTTTTTCTACTCACAACCTCCCCACTCGACTGGAGGTGAATAGCTGACTGACTATGCATTATCTTCTGTATTTCTATTTGATAGGTCCCAAGAAATCTTTGATTTCTACTCTTCTGTTTCTTTACACTCCTATCCATAATCTGTTTTTTTCACTAAATAGCCACTTTGCCAGGTTGTTTTTTGTCGGTCATGGGGGTTGATCTCTGGGCCTGAGCACTGTCCCTCAGCTCTTCAGCTTAAGGCTAGTGTTCTATCACTTGAGGTGCCACTTCCCGTTTTCTGGTGGTTAATTGGAAATAAGAATCTCACAGACTTTCTTGCCCGGGCTGGCTTTGAACTACAATCCTCAGATCTGAGCCTCCTGAGTAGCTAGGATACAGGTATGAGCCACGGGCGCCTGGCAGGTTTTTTGTTTGTTTGTTTGTTTTGTTTTTGTTTTAACCAGTTATAAAAAGCCAATTTTCCTTGTCTACCCTAGCCATTGTCAGATTTTGGTGACACTTCAATATTTGTCGACAAACTGACCCTTAAGTCCTGACAGGCTCAGGATGTAGCTCAGTGCCCATTGTGCACAGTGCCTTGGATTTGATCCCCTTCACCAAAAAAGAACAAAATCTTCTTGTTCAGAACAGTATCTTTCCATCTTTTTTACAGTTAAGCCAGAATCCTTACTGCTTTCAAGGCACTATATATTCTAAGCCCTGAAGGACTTCACCTACCACACTATGAACTAGCCTTCCCCAGATACATTTGGTCCTCCCTACCAGGCTGTTCTGCGTAGCATTTATAACACATTGACAAAAACTGGTTTATTGTTTTTCTCTTATTAGAATGTAATAGAGAAGTATTTTTCCTTGTTTTTTTAGCATCCTGTGAGCCCAGTGAATTGTTGGACACATTATAAATATTTAATAAAATTACCAAATGAATTTAAATGAATGAGCTCAATAAGTAGATTTCCTTATTTGTCTCAAAATGGTTCTATAATTGAATATTTACTTAATTATTTTTTTCCCTCCACAGCGCAATGGTCAGTTCTGTTCAAGGAAATGCATATACCAGCCAGGCTGCTATGTATAGTCCTCCTCCTGCTGCTGCCACCGCCGCACCTGCTGATGTCACCATTTACCAGAATGCTGGAGCTAATATGTCCCAGGTGCCAAGTTACACACTCACAGCGCCGACCCTGCCTCCAGCAGGAGGCAGCCAGCAGCCAGCTCAGCCACAGCAGTCATATTCCCAGCAGGCTCTGCTATAGGACCTGGTGTTCTTCTTGGTGGCACATAGCTGCTAAATGCCACTGACAATGTTAGGAGATCCATTAATATCCTAAGATTTGTTCATTGTCAACTTAAAGGAATCTATCTTGATGGACAAGGTCAAATACTCCAGAAGGTAGAACTCTTCAATTTGCACTGACTTCCTAGAGGTTCACCTGTCCCCTTCCCCAGAGGAATGAAACTACTTACAACATCTAATTCCTTTTGTAATACGAAGAATCAGAATCATTACAAGCTTATTGTCTTGTAAAATGACCTGGTCAACAAACTTGTGACAAAGGGTCTGTATATATTAATATGTAACTTCAGTAGTGGCCATTTGAATTGCAATGGTGATCATGTGAATATATTTAACACTGTGTTAAATTAATTTACATTGCTATTTTAATCATGAACAGTTACCACGTTTCCTAATGTGTGTAAATTTAAGCTAAGTACACTATTAAACTACAGGAGAGCAAAGTGTGTATAGTATATTTACGGGAAGGTGTTGCTGACCCCAGTTTCAGTTTTGCAGTATTGGTTGTGAGCTAACCTCGTGCGTTAATGTGTCTGTTTCTGTAACCTCTGTATACCAGGAGCTGTCAGTATGCCAGCTTAGCTAAACTGTGGGTGCAGTTAGAGCAGATGAGAATGTGCCCTCTTCAACTGTTAAATTTCGGCATGATGTTTCAGCTATGTGGGACCACAAGACAAAATTAAATAGGATCACATTTTTATACCTAACTTCTAAAGAAATAATGTCATTTCGCTTTTTTCCTAGTTGGATAGTAAGTAGGTTTCTAGGCTGTTTCTGTGTTCATTGGTGGCAATGACACCAAAAACAGGCTGTAGATAGAAATGTTTGAACTGGAAAGAAAACATGAATTACACTACATTTTCAAAGTCTCTTGTAATTGTTTAGAACATAATCAGAATTTGATTCATCTGTCTTACCCCATTACTAGTCTTTTAAATGTCTTTAACACATTGTATTCTTTAATTCTTCATTAAAATGGATATAAGTGGATGCTTCAAAGTAATTTATATTCCTGGCTTCGTTTAACAGTTTATTTATTGCTGTCTTTCAAGCTGGAGTTTTCTTCAGTTTCTTTCTCTATCTCATTTAAATTTCTAATGGAATTATTATTATTTTTTTATTCAGGAATATTTTTGAAGGAATACTTTTAATCCAGACAAGTGTTTTCCACTGACACTTTGATAGTAATTTTACTATTTCACTGATGTAACTGTGCTACAATTTAACACTGTTAGTTAACTGAACATTTGTGTCAAATTCCATGTTTAATGAATTGATTTAACAAGTTCATTCTATCAGTGTCAGTTTGGTTTGTGTTTTCTAAGGCTGTTGTCATAAAGAAGCTTGTATGCATCTTTAGGTAGCTGACTCCATCTTAGGCAGATAATTATGGCTTATCTCCAGATTCAGATTGACAGCCCATCTTCAAGTCATGTCTCACTGTGCTGTTAGATTTTCCTTGGTTTAGAGTGTACTGCCCTAAATAGTAGTTTTAAAATTTTACTTCGGGCTTTCTACCGTAAATATTTTTCCTAAGTTTTTTTTTGTTTTTTTTGTTTTATTTTGTTTTGTTTTGGCACTGGCCCTGAGGCTTGAACTTAGGTCCTGGGCACTGTCCCTGAGCTTTTTGCTCAAGACTAGCTAGCTAGCACTCTACTACTTGAGCCACAGGTCTACTTTTGGTGGTTAATTAGAAAGAAGCATCTCACAGGCTTTCCTTCCTGGGTTGGCCTCAAACACTGATCCTTAGATTTCAGCCTCCTAAGTAGTTAGGATTGTAGGTGTGAGCCACCAGCTCAATGGTAATCATTATTGAAGTGATTATAATCTTTTTCATTCGAATTTGAATATGGTGTTTTAACTGATAGACTTTCCCCAAGTCATGTTTTATCTTGACTAGCTAGCACTCTACTACTTGAGCCACAGTTCTACTTTTTGGTGGTTAATTAGAAAGAAGCGTTTCACAGGCTTTCCTTCCTGGGTTGGCCTCAAACACTGATCCTTAGATTTCAGCCTCCTGAATAGTTAGGATTGTAGAGGTGAGCCACCAGCTCAATGGTAAGCATTATTGAAGTGATTATAGTCTTTTTCATTCAAATTTGAATATGGTGTTTTAACTGATATACTTTCCGAAGTCATATTTTATCTTTTCTTGCCTTACTATAAATTTCTATTTACAGCTCTATCCTGTTCCCATTTTAATTTTGATATTCTTTGTGCTGTAAAATCACTTCAGTATTCAGTAATCAATTCAGTATTCAGTATATATTTTGCGCTATAAAAGTCAGACCGGTGGAATGAGGGAATTTCCCCCCTCCCCATATGAATATATATACATTTTTCATTACCTTTTAGATTATTAAGTTTAAAGATTCAGATGGTGAGTGCTTGAAACTGATAATATCTTTGTGCCTTTCGCTTACTAAGAATGAAAATTACAGGTAGGTAACTTTTAAATGGAAAGAGTGGAAATATGAAGGGGCCAGTTAGACTCCCAAATAGTTTTTGTTTTGAAACCTGTGTGTATATGTGTACGTGTATAGTATTTTCAAGAAATCTTTTATTAATTAGCTTATTGTGAAAGAGTACAATTATTTATAAAAATTAGCTAACTATAATGTAAACTTATTTTCCAAGTTTATTTCTTTTGTGATGTTTTAGATGTGTTACCATAAAAGTGATAACTAACTAGGAACAAAATTCAGTCCATTACTATGCAGCATAAATAGCCAATCGACTGTGGCTAATCGGATATGATTATATACCAGTAATACTTATATCTCTGTGGTCCTTTTTCACTATTTCCTATCTCCTGCTCAATGAAGGACCTTCTTATGTGCCTAGAGATTTCCCCTTCCTATTAACTACTTAAGGAAATTTTTGTCTTTACCTCAGCTTTTATACTTTAAATGCTTGTAATAGATCAGTCCTGCTCATTTCTGGTAGATTTGACTTTTATATATGGCATATAACATTGAGCTTGAAAAATCTTTTTTTTTTTTTTTGGTGGTCATGGGGCTTGAACTCTGGGCCTGGGCGCTGTCCCCAAGCTCTTCAGCTCAAGGCTAGCACTCTACCACTTGAGCCACAGTGCCACTTCTGGCCTTTGCTGTTTATGTGGTGCTGAGGAATCAAACCCAGGGCCTCATGCATGTGAGGCAAGCACTCTACCACTAAGCTACCTTCCCAGCCCCTTTTGAAAAATCTTCAGTCCAAAGTTTCAGGTTTGTATAAGACAACTTAATGCCCTACAAAATAAAATCTGCAACTATAAAAATTGTAGCAATTACTTTACAAAACGAGTCTTTATCAGGATAATTGGTTAAATTGTCATCCTATTTACAATTAAAATCACTACTTTCTCTCAGCTGTTTCATTTATTGCTAGTTGGACTGGTTAGAATAACTTTCTATTAGATTACTTTTAAAATACCAATCACAAAACCATAGTTTTAATTCATTACTCTTGTATCATTTTCTGATTACATCAATCATTTGTTTGATTTTGGTTGATAACTGCTTATACTCCCTTATTATAATTATAATTATAAAAATTATTTTTTATTTCAGAAAGGGAGTAAGAATTACTAAATCGGCCCCTTGAATTAAATATGCTTTTTCTATGAACTATAAGTGGTGCTTTTTTCCAAGAATTTTCCTTATTAATATGCAGACCAGAGATACACTCAATGATAAATACATGGAGCATCTAAATATTGTTCATTTAGATTCACTCATTAGCAATTGTTTATCTACTTATGCTTGTTTACATACATGTTTGTATTGATGTGTTCATATACCCATACATATATTGTGTAAATTGGTAAGTCTTCTATACACTTGAGTACTTCATCATGTATCTTGTAAGGGATGAGGACAGTAACCCTCTATTTAACCGTGATTACATCTATATACTATATTACTAGCAAATATTCCCTAATTGACTTTTTAATACGTGAATATTACAGATACATATGTATGAGTGTGATATTTAAATCTTTAATATATGTATGTGTGTATTCTTAGATCCAGGATCCATGCAGGAATATATATAAATATATATATATATATATATCACCTTTTTAAAAAAAGTTTATTGTCAAGGTTATGTATAGAGGTATTACAGTTACATAAGTATGGTAGTGCTTACATTTCTTGTCTAATTTGCTACCCCTTCCCTCGTTTTTCCCCATTTTCCCCCACTTTCCCCCCAGGTTGTACTGATCCTTTCCAACATAATGTCTTGGGAGTATCGCTGTTGCATAGGTTCCTCCTTTGTCCTTTGTCTCACCATTTTGTTGTCCCCCTTCCCTTCCCAAGTTCAGATAAATGTATATACAATACCCAGGGTACCAAAATTGAATGGAGTGACAACCGGGAATAAACCATAGGAGGGAAACAAAAGAAAAGAAATCATGTAGCACATTGAGAACAACAAATAGACACTTTTTTTCTAAATGACACTTAATTCTCTTAATCTGGATTGATCTCCATGCTATCCCTTTCTCCCCCATGACAATGACTTTTGAAAAATTATCTTACAAATTATTGTTTTTGGTTCTGCACATTTTATTTTCCTGATTATGATGTTTTTTTTAACTTGATGTTGCATTCTTACTAGAATATTATTTACTTCTAAAACAATTATAATCAGAACTATGACTTGTGGTATGGAGTGATAAAACTAATTTTCAAGATCAGAAACTGTTTACAAATTGCACATGGTTCGCTTTATGGTCAGTATATACTGTTAAAAAAAAAAAAAGATTATAGCATTTAGGTCATTGAGGCTGCTGACAGCTTGAGTGTAGTTTTTATTTTTCTCTGTTTTAGGTGAATCCAGAGTAACTGAAGGACACACTGCCTCCATTTTCTCCCATTCAAACCCACATCAGCGAGTCTTCATTCATTTACAGGTTATCTTTGGAATACAGAAATGTTAACAAGTTTGTTTTAAAAGATTTCTAGTCCATACTTATTAAGATGTTGAAATTGCTGAAAGAATGAAAGGCCTTTTTAAAAAAGTTCTTAAAATTATTTCTAATTGCTACTTTATTTCTTCAAGTTTACCAAATTGGAAACAAATTGAGTAAAATAAAAAAGTTGGAAACACAAGTTACAATATACCTCTCTAGATGATCAAATAGCTTGTTTAGGACCTCATATTGTTTCAGTTGATTAATTACTTTTTAAAACATAAAATGTTTGTAATCTGTTCTTTTTTCCATAGCTGGATTTATAAGGATTATTAGCTGTGGGACCATAATATATCTTGTTCTGTTTAAAACAAAATATGGTATGTTAACAGTTGATAAGATTTTCATTCAAATTAATTATATGTCATATTACCTGTTATGTAGTTAGTTATAAGTTGCCAAATAGGAAAGTTTGTGTAAGATGTCCTTACAGTATGACTATTTGCTGAACCAAAAAGCACAGAAAAATATGTTCTACTGTTTTAGAATTTGTGTTCTTTAGACAAAAGATTTTAGCATAAGTCTCTTGATATTATGTAAAGAAAGTGCTGTTTGGTTGTGGTGGCATTTTGAGTTGAAGATAGGAATCAATTAAATATTCTAGTCCATTCTACTATTAAGTGTAAATTTTAGTTTACTGCCTTAGAAATTCAGAGAACTGGATTTTAAGCCAGGTTGACTTCTTTTCAAAGGAGTCTCTTGGTAGATATGCAGTGTTGGGCAGCTCTGTGAATCTCTGTGAGCTACCTTTTACTTACTTGTAATTTGTGGGGTTAAAGTAACTAGTCTATAGGAATCAAGTGCTTTAAAGCCTCTACTTTTGTCTGTTTGAAATACCTCTACCATTGACCCTGAACAACTTATGACTCCAAACTTACCTGGGGTAGTTTAGAAGAGGAAAAAGGGTGGTGTGTCTTTGGGTGCTGTGGTACTGAAACCTAAGAACATAACACAACCATAACAATTTACTGCTGAAAATAATCTGATGTTGCTTTTCCCCCCCCACGAGAAACAGACGTGCCTTTTGTTTCTGTTTGAATTGCTGCACCAGGAACAACTATACTTTGGGCAGACGTGCTTTCCTTGGTAGTACTTTGACTTTCATTGGTACTGGTTTGGAAAAATAAATAAAGATATTGCAGCTCTGGATATATTGTATTTGTATGCTGCTTTAAATCAAAGGAAGTGGGTTGTATTAGACCATATGGAATTGCACTATTCTTGATGTTCTGGTAGACAAAATAATCCTGTTTGTCTAGAAACAAAAATGGGACAAGCAGTGCAGTTCAATTATCATCCTTTAGCTATTAGGTATATTGGTAAAAATAATAGATTACTATGGAAATGGTTTCTTTTTTTCATAGTTTTTTTTTAATTGTGAAAATACTGTACAGAGGGGTTACAATTATATGGGCAAGATAATGAGTTCATTTCTTATCAAGCATTGTAGCCTCCTTTGTTTCCCCTTCCCTTCCCTTCCTCCCCCCACCGTCCCACCCAATCCCCCTCCCCCCACCAAAGTTGTAAGGTTCATTTTCGACATAACGACTTGTACATCTCATTGTTGCAATGGGTCCACCTGTATCCCTATTTAAACGATTTGTTTTTTCCCTTCCCCTCCACAAATTACACTGACATCAAATACAGTGAAAGCAGGGGTTATACTGTGGGGGAGGGACATACAAAGCAACAAAGAAATAATCTTATAAATGTGTTAGAAACAATTGCATGAAAGAAAAAAAAAACATTTGAATACGTATCTTAGGGTTCATTTTCCTGACATCACCTTATCTGACCTTTTCTGCTTGTCTCAGACATATACTAGATATTGCAAATAAGGGAAACCATGGGACGGACCTATGTTTCTTTGGGCCTGGCTTACTTTACTTAATATAATTTTTTCCAAGTCTTTCCATTTCCTAACAAGTGGGACAGTGTCATTCTTTCTGATGGAGGCATAGAATTCCATTGTGTATATATATACCACATTTTCTTGATCCATTCAGCTACTGAGGGGCATCTGGGTTGGTTCCATCTCTTAGCTATAGTAAATAATGCTACAATAAACATAGTCGTGCTGATAGCTTTAGTGTGGTCTTGTTTGTGAATCTTTGGGTAAATGCCCAAAAGTGGGATTGCTGGGTCATAGGGGAGCTCTATGTGGAGTCTTATGAGGAACCTCCATACTGCTTTCCAAAGTGGTTGAACAAGTTTACACTCCCACCAACAATGCAGTAAGTTTCCCTTCTGTCCACATTCCCTCCAGCATCTGTTGTTATTAGAGTTCTTGATTATAGCCATTCTAACTGGGGTGAGGTGGTATCTCAATGTTGTTTTGAGTTGCATTTCTTTTATGGCTAGGGAGGTTGAGCATTTCTTCATGTGTCTATTGGCCATCCTTTCCTCTTCAGAGAAGTTTCTCTTTAAGTCTTTAGCCCACTTATTTATTGGGCAGTTGTTTCTTTGAAGATTTATTGTTGGAGGAGTTAATTTTTTGAGTTCCAGGTATATTTTAGATATGAGACCCTTGTCCATTGTATGGCTAGTGAAGATCTTCTCCCAATCCATGGGCTTTCTATTGATGTTGCTAGCTATTTCCTCTGCCATGCAGAAGCTCTGCAATTTTATTCAATCCCGTTTGTCCAACCTTTCTTTGATTTGTTGTGTTTCCGGGTCTCTATTAAGAAAATTTCAGCCTGTGCCAAGGAGACCTAGGGTTTCTCCTATTCCATCCTGTAATGTTTTCAGAGTGTCTGCTTTGACTCTGAGGTCTTTGATCCATCTGGAGTTGATTCTGGTGCAGGATGATATATAAGGATCTAGCTTTAGTTTTCTACAAGTAGTTAACTAATTTTACCAGCACCATTTACTGAAGAGGGTGTCTTTCTTCCATTCTATTTTTTTAGCTCCCTTATCGAAGATTAGATGGTTCTAGGTCTATAGGTTCATGTCTGGATTTTCAATTCTATTTACTATGGAAATGGTTTCTGTCTTTGCTGATAGCTAAGAAATTGTTGGCTTATTTGTTTTCCTAATAATTCAAATAAGTTGCAGAATCCAGCAGTGATTTTTTTGTCTCATAATTATCTGTCTGAGGAAAATGCTGTTATACACTACTAAGCTAAAAATTATCAGTATAAAAATTGTTATTAAATTTAAGAAAACCTGCTGATTCTTTGAAACCACCTTTTTCTTATCCATTAATCCATTTTAGTTGTTTCAGTTGTACAAAATACTACTTATGATATCTTCATGCATACTTTTTTTTTTCATGCATACTTTTTGTCATACATTAATCATACTCATCCTCCATTACCATCGCCCTTCCCACTTTCCCTTTCTCTCCTGATTATAGTGGTGGGGGAGTTTGGGAGGCAGCCAGAGGCATTATTGTGGTTTGAACTCAAATTCATACTATGACTTGACCTAAGCCTCCAGCCCTTATTGCTCTAGCTACTTTTTGAGATAGAATCTCACTTTTTGTACAGACTGGCCTGCACCACTATACTCCTACATATACTCATATATAGTTTCCGCCATAGCTAGGATGACAGGTATAGACCACCATGCTCAGCTTTTCCTTATGATATGGGCCCTTGAAACCTGTTGCTCAGGCTGGCATATATCGTAATGGCACCTTCCCTAGTAGCTGGATGACAAGTATATACCACCATGTTCAGGTATTGGTTGAGAATAGTATAGTGAGGAACCTCCCAAAGAAATAAGATTATAAGGCATGAGACAAAGATAGTCTGATTTCTTTTTCTTGTACTAGTTATTTGAACTCATGGCCTTAAGCTTTCTAAACAGGTGCTCTTCCATACATCTATGCTGCCATCCCTGTTTTGGCACTGATTATCTTTGAGATAGGGCCTTACCTCCTGCCCAGGGTTACACTTGGACTGCAGTGTCTCTGTTTCACCATTTGCACTGTAGCTCGGATGACAGGTCAGACTTCTTCCATTGAAATACAACCTTGTGGTTTTTCTGCCTGAGAGAGCTTGGAATCATGATCCAGTCTCAGCCTTCTATGAGGGTAGGATAACAGGCATGTGCTTCTACATGCACCTGTTAGTTGAGATAGGTAAAATTACTACATTAGCTAGAGCCTTCAGTATCTGCCACCAGCTAATGTCCTAATTCATTTTTGTACTTACTTAAAGCAATTCCAAGAGTAAATTATGTGTTCACTTTGCCTGCTTGACTTTCTTTTATTAGGTACCTTGTTGGTATGAAAAAATACACCTTTATTAAGTGACTATTAAAAGAACTGGTGAGTTATTTCACCTATTGAATAAATCAAATAAGCATTTTATAGGTTTTTCTTTTCTTTTTTTGATAAAGGAGAAAAGACAAGTTTTCTTAAATACTTATAATTATGTTCCCCCTTTATAGATGTCTTTTGGAGTCTATTGGAAGAGGAAATTTTTTGTTACTTTGAGACAGGGTCTCGCTATAGAGCCTAATCCTGGCCTCAGAATAAGACAGCTCCTCTCCCTGTGTTCCTGACTAGCTGAGATTGCAGTTATACATTACTGTGCCTACCATTTTAGAATTTTTTTGGTGTCTCTTTTTTTCACAGTGGAATATGAATGGGTTTCACTCTTCTCACCAAAGTTTTTAATGTTTCAACAAAATTATTCTTCAAATTCAATGGGGAAATTCAAAGATTAGTTAAAGATCAGCTAAAGCAATTCATGCCCGCCAAGCCTGAACTGCAGAAGATACTTAAGGGAATATTACACAGAAAAAAGAAATTTCAAATGAGCAGTAAATGGACATAAAAGAATTAGGAAAGAAAAAAAACAGGTTCAATTCAGGAAATCGGCAAACTTGGGGGGAAAAAAAATAAAGTCACAGGAAACTAAATACTTTTTTAGTCATAGCCTGAAATGTCAGTGGTTTTAAGTCTCCAAATGATTTGGATGACTAGATTAAAAACAAGACACATCTATTTATTGTCTGCTAAAATACAATTCACTGGCAAAAACATACAGACTAAAAGTGAAAGGAGGAAATACTATATACCAAGCAAGAGGAAATCTAAAGGAAATAAAAGCAACTCTACTGCTGTGTGATAAAACCAACTTCAAGTCTTAAGTTTGAAGAGGCCTGGGAAGTCACTACACATTGATGAAGGGAACAAACCACCAAGAACATTAAATTCTACATGTATCAAAACAGCACTAGCACCCCAAGTTCATAAACATTATTGACAGGTCCAGATATAGTAGTTGATCTCAGCATATGGCAACATTCCACTATCCATAGATCACTCAGAAAAGAAGAAATTGAAGATATCTCAGGATTAAATAACACTGTTTTACAAAAAGATTAACAAGCATCTACAGAGAATTACATTCAAGAGCAGCAGAGAGGACATTCCTAGCAGTCCACAGAACATTCTGCAAAATAAATGGCAATTCAAGTCATAATGTGAGTCCTAACAAAGAAGAGCAAAAAGTTTGCTGTATTGTAACAAACTCATGGATAGAATTATTACAAGAAAATGCAGAAACTATTGAGACACATGGAGACTGAACAGTGTGTTTTTGGGATGATCAATGAGTCATTGAAAATTTAAAAGCCACCTAGACTCAAAAGACAGTTTATCAGAATCTGTAGGCAGTTTTCAGAGGGAAGTTTTACAGCTTATTTTAAAAAGTAAGATCTCAACCTAATGGGTGTATGGCAAGGTGTTAGGGGAACAAGGCCAAACCAGATGTGGTTGCTCGCACCTCGAACTCTAGCTGTTAATAAGACATCTGGAGGATCACAAGTCAAGGGCAGCCGTAGCAAGAAGTTAATGAGACCCCATCTTAACCAATAAAATTTTTGGCATGGTAGCATGTACTTTTTATGCCAGCTGTGTAAACCAAATCAGTATGTTGAAGAATAATGAAATCGAGACTTAGTACAAAGAAATAAAAAGTAGGTTCTCTGGAAAGACTGACAAATGCTTAGCCAAACTAATCAAAAAGGAAAAGGAAGAAGACAATTTAAAAAAAATGCCACAGATACCGATGGAATTCAGAAGATCACTAAGGAATTTTTATAAATTCCAATAAACTGGAAAATCTAGAAGAAATGGTTATACTAATACAGATGAGTTCTACCCAAACTGAAACAAAAGAATATAAAAAACTAACAAGCAATGAGGTTAAAATTAATGAGAGTCAAAATTCCAAGACCAGATGGGGTCCCTGTTGAATTCTACCAGAATGGACTTGAATGACCTGAAACTATTGGAAGAAAAGGAATGGGGATGAAGAAAGAGGGAAGAACTGTACCAAACTCATTCAAGTCCAAGAATGACCTAGTACCGAACCTAAGGATGGAATGAAAGTAATTTCCTTAGCAAAAAACTTAATAATATAAAACAAAATCAACACATTAAAATGATCATATAGCCAGGCACCAATGGCTACTCAGGAGGCTGAGATCTGAGGATCACAGTTCAAAGCCAGCCCGGGCCGGAAAGTCTGTGAGACTCTTTATCGCCGATTAACCACCAGAAAACTAGAAGTGGTGCTGTGGATCAAGTGGTAGAGCACTCTCCTTGAGCTGAAGAGCACAGGGACAGTGCCCAGGCACAGAGTTCAAGCCCCATGACCAACAACAACAACAATAAAAAAGATCATACCATGATCAAGTTGGTTTTATTCTAGGGATACAAGAATGTTTCAACATATGCAAATAAGTAATGTAACACATAAACAGCATAAAGGGGAAAAATCATGATCATCTCATTAGAGGAAGAAAAATTCTCCTTTTACAAAATTCATGAAAGGCCCAAGGAAAACTAGGAATAGAGGAATGTACCTCAGTGTAATTAAAAACTATGTATGACAGATCTATAGCCAACACTGAACAAAATAGGCAAAAGCAAAACATTTAAAGCTTAAAATAAGAATTTCTTTTACACAATGCAGTGCTTGAATCTTAGAGCAGTGAGGCAGTAAAAAGGAAAGGAATATGAATTGGAAAGAAAGATCTCAAATTATCTCTACCTAGAATGATCCTTCACCTAAAAGATCCTAAATACTACCTAAGCTCATATCTGGTAAACATTTCAGCAAAGTATCAGAGTATATCATGCAAATCAATAGCTTTACACCAACAAGTTTGAGAAAAAAAATCAGTAAAACACTCCCATTTACAGTTGCTTTTTTAAAAAAAAATCTAGAAATAACAAAGGAGGCAAAAGTTTTACAACCAAAATTATAAATAGCATAAAACTATATATAAAACCATATGAAATTTATAAGGCATTGGAAAAAAGGAACAAAACACTAGGATCTCTTACGTTTGTGGATTGACATAATGGTTACTGTGAAGCGGCCATACTGAAAGTGATTTACATATTCATTTCTCATTAAGATTCTGATATTCATCAGAAATAGAAAATCCAATCCTAAAAGTCATATGGAAGCAAAAAGACCCTCAGTACCAAAGCAATCCTGAATAAAGACCAATATTTGACTTCAAACTATAATTCTTCATGGTATTGACAACAGATCCACAGGTCCGTGGAATAAGAGGCCTCAGAAATAAGCCCACAGGCTACTGGCTTTTGACTGGGATATGTGTGGTGGGTTAAACCTGTTGATAGAGATTTAAATTATTGTAGCCACTATGGAAAGCAGATGGAGGCTCATAAAACTGTCTACACTATATATCCCAAAGATGGATTACAATAGAGATGTCTGCAGATCCATTATTATTTTAGCACTGTCCACAATAGCCAAGTTATGGAATCAGACCATGACATTTTATGTTTAGCTCTAGTACCCAACTCTGCCCATTCTTGCTTTCATTCATTCATTTGGGAAAAATGTAAGTGTACAAAAGAAATTAAAATCAATCAAAACCTTTTTGACATTTAATAGTTTGTGAAACTACAAGGGAAAGTCAAGAAGAGTTTTGTTGTTTGCCTGTTCTAGGGCTTGAACTTAGGGCCTGGACTCTGTTTCTAAGCCTCTCTATGCTCAAGGCTAGTGTTCTACCACCTGAGCCGCAGTACCATTTCCAGATTTTTCTAAGTAGTTTATTGGAGATAAGAGTCTCACAGATTTTCCTTCCCCAGCTGGCTTCAAACATCTCAGCCTCTTGAATAGCTGGGATTACTGGTGTAAGCCACTGGCACCCAGCTGAGAAATCCTTGTAGCCTAAGAGAAGCCTTTATTTTTTTGGTAGTTTTCCTTGTGATTCATTCTTAGGAACTTCAGTGATGTAGCTTTCCCAAATGTTAAAAAAAGGATTACCTCTTCGGACTGAAAAGGGGTAGGCACCTTGGAGTTCAGTGGTAGAGTGTTTTCCTAGTATAAACAAGACACTGGGCTCCATCCCAGCACAACACAAAGAGAAGCCTCTGAAGCAACAGCTAAATATTTACAGGCAGATCCAGTTTGACATATTTAGACTGCAGAATATTAGTATTTTCAAAAAGGAATAGCATTTTATATCTGGGTAGCTTCCTATGAAAAAGAGGTTTTTGGTTTTCTGAAAAATCAGACAATCTAACCAGCATTTACTCCTGCATTCCTTCAGGTCACCTCTTTGTTTCCAATATGCATTGTGTTATCTGAAAGTTCTCTATCTCCACCAACTATTTAAAGACAACCAGACCAGACACAATTTGGATGGAAAACTAGCACCAGGGCAGAGACCTCTTTATCATCTAGCATTTGTGGGATAGTAAGGGATTTACAATCAAGAAGGGAAGTAACAGGTATCCAATAAGAAATCATGGAGAGGATAAAGGAAAGTTCTTGGTGAGAATGGATTGAGGTGATCAGAAACCAAGAACTGGAGATGCTGTCTTTAACCTTAGAAAGATTCTTATTAAAACTTAGCTATGTAGACCTGGCAAAGACGGCCAGAGTTGAGGCTCTGTGGAGAAGAGGGTTTATATAAGCAGACAAGAGTGTGGTTAGGGAGTTTTCACCAGACTCCTGGCATAGTTGGAGTACTGATTCCTGCTCAAAATGGAGTTGGACCTTAGACTGCATTATCCATTCAAACCATTTGGGACTTGGGATGGTCTCAGGACAGTGTGGACTTTGAATCGTAAGTCTACATTTGGTATTTAGAATTTAAAGAGAACAATGTACATGGCATCATTTTGGTGTGGGACACTGTGACCATTTCATCACATAAAATACATAAAATAGTATTGTAGTATGTTACTTTTTCTAATGTGGCTACTAGAAAATGTGTGGATTATCTTTCCCTCCCTCCATCTCCCTCTCTCTTCCTATTCTGAGCTACATCTTAAGCCTGCACATCCCTTTTTGGTTAGTACTGATCTGAGCTTTCAGGTCTCTTTCTCATGTTTATAGCTTTGTTAAAGCCTGTCTTTTTACTGTAGTCAGGCACTTGATAAGTAGTAGACTAAAGGAAATGGAATGCCATTGCAGTGATAGTATGTCACTTAAGACACCATCTTATTAGTAGACAACCTAGATGCAAACTCTTGCCAAGTATTGAACCTAACCCTGTCTAACATGATTTCTGCCTTGAAGAAGATCAAGCTCCTACCTCACAAAAATTGAGTTAATAAATGTATGTTGTGTGAGGCCAGTAAATACATGGCAATTTATTATGAAGCAATAGAAAAGATAGCCTGGATGAAAATGTGGAACTGTGCTAGTCTAGCAGAAAGGAAATTGGAGAGAGTTAAACTAGAATAATTGAGTATAATTATAATTGAGTATAAGCTGTCGTTGGATGGTAATGCTAAATAGCCCATCTGCCTCTGAGCAGGGAGCGGGGGTAGGTGGGTCTGGGGTCTAATCCCACGGCCTAGGCATTGTCCCTGAGTGTAAAGGTAGCATTCTACCAACTGAGCCACAGCTCCACTTCCAGATTTTTTTTTTTTTGATGATCAATTAGAGATATAGAGTCTCATGGTCTTTCCTTTTCAGGCTGGCTTTAAACCACAATCCACAGATTTCAATCTCCTGAGTAGCCAGGATTATAGGCATGAGCCACCAGCTTCCAGTTTATGGTCACAAGTCACTTCCTATGTAAGTCCACACGAAAGAGAAAAAGTTCAAGCTTTCCTGCTTTTTGAAGGTAAACTTTTTTTGGTGGTATTTATTTAATTACCTAGATCTAGACTTTGTAGTCTGATACAAGTAGGTTATTTCAATTTTCCTTTATTAAGATTTACTCTATTTTCAAGAGATGTTCTATTTTGGAGAATGTTCCATGGGGAAGAATGCGTATTCTGCAGTTTTTCAGTAATAATCTGTAGATGCCTGTTAAGTCCACTTGAGCTATAGTTTTATTAATTTCAGAAGTTTCTTATATTGAGTATTTATATGGATGATCTGTCTGGTAGTTGGGTCATCCACTACTCATATGTTGGGGTGATCTATGAAGTCCAGTAGTACTTATTTTATGAAATAAATCTTACTAAAGATTTGGGAACTTTTCTGCTATTATTTTATTGATTATTTTCTATGCAGTCAGCTAACACTGACACTTTTACC